GGCGGCGGCCGCTGAGGAGTTCTCCGCAGCCCGCGCCCGGGCGCTTCCCCGGGGAGCCGGCGAGGCAGGAGCAGCGGCAGCGGTGCGGGCTTGTTCACCCCGTTAGCAGTGCTCTAGGGATGGGGAAGGACGGCCATTGCCTGGGGGAGAAAGTTTCGCCTGCTTACGGCTTTCTGGGCGTTTGCGGCATACTTTGTAGAACGGCGAGACGGGAGCGTTGCCGTTTTCAGTCAGCTTTTGGCTGACTTTTCCGCTGGCGTTCATAAACTCAAGAAAATGACGTATCCCAGATGGAGTGTGGGTTATGGCAAAATGTTGGTACCGTATGTTGTTTGAACTCAAGACGCGAGCGGTATACTCTTTTTGGATAATGTATTAAACGCGCAAATATTTTTTTTTTTTTTTGGCGGAAAGTGTATTAATAAAGAGCACGTCGCAACAATCGAGTATAGGGTGTAGTTACTTTTTTACTATTTCACCAAAATGGAGCACCACCTCAAACTACATCATTCTGGCCCATTGTTTAGAAAGCCCCTTTGCTCAAGTCGCTCTCAGCGATGAATGTACTTCCTTTCTTTTGTTTTCCTTTACATCCGCAATGTTTTAATGGGAGGAGGGTGAAGAGGAAAGCCTCTTTACGTTTGGGATCGTTATTCTTAAGTACTGTAAAACCGCTTATAATGTTTAAAATGCACTGAACTTGCACGGTTCTGAACTTATCAGAATGATGCCCTTTCTGATCAGTGCCTTTCAACTTGGTGCTGATCAAGTGTGACAATTTCTATTAGATGGATGAAGACCTGTATAATCTATAGCCCATGTTGTTACGTAGCTTAGAGAACAACTCTGGGGCCTCTTAGTCTTTTAAGAATCTGTTAGCTTTTCTTTAACTTTTTATGTGATAGCATTTGCCTGTGGAAAGTGAATAACTTCCATAAACAGATTCTGAGATTTTATTTAGTCCTAAATCTTTTCTACTAATTGATTGTAAAGTGGGAAGGAGAATCTCTGCTGCAGGTTGGGACTGCTGATGACAGCTTTTAAAGGAGAGGATTTAAAAGTTTCAAGAGGTAGATCTTCACAGTGAAACCGGATTTCCTCCTGCTAAACCTGCTGTAATCCACTGAGTAGTGTAAACCGGATTTCTGCCTTTTGACAAGAATTGAACAGCAGTCCGTTCTGATTAAGGGGTAACTTAAGCCTTAATGTGAAAGCCTGTTGAGTTCTGCAAACATTATTTTTCAGGTGGTTTTTTTGTTTGTTTTATCTTCTGTAACTTTAACAAAATAATTTTGAATGAATACCAAGAATATTTCACAGAATACTTGCTTCCTCCTGCATATGCTTACATGGTTACTTAAGAATATTAAAAGCTATATAGTGAATAATCCCAGTACCAGAAAGACCAATTCACACTTGCACTGCATGCAGTAATAAATTGTTTTTAAAGATGTGTACCTATGACTGTCATTAGAATCTAGTCCTAGGGTGGAGGAAAATAGCCAATGGTCAGAAGTGTTCAAGTTGACATGCTGTCATCCAGAGAAAGGTGGAGGGGGAGAAATCCTATTTACACTCAAGCTGTATTCATTAGACCCTTAACTGAATCTGTCTTCATATTGTCCTCTTGCTCCCCTGTTGTCCGTGCAACTAGCCTAGAGACTAGTATGATGAATTTGTGAGCTGGAAAGCAGATGATATGACATATGACAAGGAGTGTAGCCCCTGTTTAATTCTTGTTAGTAAATACTGATTAGATGAAGTCTCTGAGTTGTCTGCTTGGCGGACACTTGCTTTTTATAGTATATCCCAAAGTAATGAGCTGGTTATTTTATAGTAGTAGTATATGTAGCGTATGTTCTTACCAAAAAAGCTAAATAGTTCTCCTGCCATTATGTTGTTCTGTGGGAGTAATCCATGTATCTTTTGTCCCCTCTTCTTTTTTGTATGTTATTGATACTTTCCTTTAAAGGCTATTGAGAATATTCTGAAAGGGATTTAAAAAAAAAAAGGAAAGGTTCTGGGTTAAGACTGTTCCGAAATACCTGTGATGTTCAATGAAAGGTCAGCTAACTTTACTTCATATGACTTTGTCAGTTCTTTTGGTTAGAAGTAGAAATTATAAAAGCAGGAAAATCTGCTTAAAAGCTGTGTGCTTCCTAAGGTGAAGGTGCATTTAAATTAAACCAGTTTTATAATGGGAAACAGCACATGCTTAAATTAAAAGCCAAATTGGTGCAACTGCTGTTTTTTTCAGTTTGTACACAATTTGCTTCAAAGCTTGATTTACAGGACACACAAACCACTTCCTTTTAGATGGGAACCTGATGTAGTTGTGTTTAATGCCATACACCATCATGCTGTGTTTAAAAAAAGCCAGGAAGCAGCTTGAATTGAATCTCAAAATATAAGCCTTAAGTAAATATGTAGACTTGTTTTGGGTTGATATGTGGAAGGTTTTTCTGGTGCTCAGGCTTCTAAGAGAGAAACTGAGCCTTTAATTTCTCGCATCCTGAATACATACACATATTTCATCTTACTACAACCTCTTCCTTTATGTCCAGTTACTTATATTGGTTGTATTCATATAAAAATAAAAGCTTCTGAATCTGTAGTATGTGTTCTTTTTGGTGAGCAGATTCTGAAGCTTTAATTACAAAGTACACATCTTATTTGTAATAAACATCAGGAGAGAATTGACCATTTCTTTCAACTTTTAAAAATGCTAAGTATAATTTAGTGTTGATTGAAATAGGTATCTCTTGAAAATAAGTTTAAAAAAAAAAAAGAGAACAGCTAACTGCTTCTTGCTTGTTTTTCATCACAGTTCTTGATTGCATTCTGCTAACAGCTTGTGTTTCATCTTCCATGAATTTGTCTAGTAGGTGTTCGTCTGAGCAGTGTGTTTTATACTGCCTTAAACCAAAGACTCCAAACCCACTTGATGGTGGGTATAGGTAACAATATTTCCTTCAGTCTGTAAGAAGGATGTGGGAATGTGGGAGAAATCTTTTTGCCAGATGCAGCCAGCTTCAGTCATGCTTCCAGAGCTGATGAAGCTTTCTCTTTGTCGAACAGATGTGCTGGATGCTTTGGGCCTTCCCTTTTCCTTTTGCTAATTTCAGTTCTGCCTCTAAGTGGCTAGTAAGCAGTGTCTTGTAAATCTTGGAGTAATTACATGAGCTTTTTTAATTAGACTTGCAGAGGATTAGACCAACAGCAGAGAAATCAGCTACACATGAAACCTCCCAAATGTCAAAGAAAATGCTGTTTGTTTTCTTGTCTCTAGGTATATTTTTTTGTAAATGCTGGAAGATTTTCACAGGGATCTAAGGCTTCTTTAAATTCAGGATGACTGCATTGCATTAAGTTTGCAGAGATATGATCATAACCAACATGGAAAATTCCAACTGAAAATCTTCTAATACTGTACTTCACGTGTTGATTGGGGGGGGATGAGGTAAAAAGAATTTAATTGCAAAATTCAGACTCATTGCTGTAGAAGTGGAAGCAGGCAGTGTAAATGAAAATGTGGTGTAAATGGAGTGTTGCTATTTTGGCGGAACTGAGGAGTCAGTTTATACTAATTCCACATATTTCTAGAAAAGATGGCAAGGGGCATAGTCATTATGTAGCCTTGACTATTACTTTCCTCCATCTCCAGTACAGGAAAATAGGCAAACATTTTGAAGTTTGGTACATAAAACCTTTGCAAAAAGTAAAACCTTACAGATTTTTCCAAGTCCTTGCTTACTGGCTCACCTAAAAATGCGTTCTGAGAAATCAGACAGAAAGGAAATAATTTCCGAGGAAAAATGGCCTTATTTGTGGCTCCTGAATAGGTGTGATTTCTTTGGGGTAGGAGGCTTCATGAAAATAATTCTTTCTGAAATACTGAAAATTGATGTGTGAAGTAGAAGGGTCAGCTGGGTAGCCATACTCTACAGGAGAAGAAAGGAAATAGGGACACTGTAACTGTCTCTTCTGTGGTTGCAGTTCATGCTTGGGAATGTATTCTTGGGGTGGTCTGCCAAGGGAAAAATGATGATAAAAGCTGGAGAATAATTAATTAGACTTTGGCCTCTGTTGCAAACTGAAGAGAAAGGATAGAAAAGTCAGCCTTACAGATGAGGTTCTGGAAAGGTTCTTAATTTTCACTGATTTGAATGCTGTGTACAACAGTGTTCTCCCTCCCAGTAGGCAGGAGGGACCTGATCCATTTTCTCTGCTGGTGTTTCTGTACTGGTGGCAATGGATTTACAGTATGAAAGAGGAGTTGTGTAGTTGTGAATTAGGTCTGATAACGTGTCTCTGCCTCTCAATGAGTGCGTGGAAGAAAAAGTCTGTGGAGGGTGTGGAACCAGAGAAGAATTTAAAAAAAAAAAGTTTTTACAATTTTCAGTTTCCAGTAGATTTGGATTATTCAATTGAG